CTCAAAATTGTCTTAACTTTTATCAGTAAGCTTCAATTTCAATAAAATGGGGAATATAAAGAGTTAAATGATTTAATCACAGTTTACTATATGCAATTTAAAGTTGTTTCCACTGGGGAGGTTTGGGAAAGATTTATCATTTTGATTTTTCCATTCAGACTCTAAATTTTACCTTAATATTTAATTGATGTCAACACTGAAATATGTTACTGTCCAGTCTACTATAGTTAAGATTCCAACTCCTGTTAAGTGATTATTCAGACAAAGATTGACATAAGAGATAAATGGAACACTTTCAAACTTTTCATAAAGCTTTTAAATGAATTATGTAGTAATCTTAAGCATGGTTCATAATATCAGTAAACATCAGCTAGCTTAACTATGGTATTTACTATATATAATTATTATATTTTAAATTCCTAGGTGTTTTAGGTCGCTATTCTCCTACTTCTTAGTTGAAAATGTCTTACAGTTAAAGATATCTGCTTAAAGCTAATCCTTTGGGCTCTGTAAAATGGACCTTTTGTCTAATCAATGCAAATTGATTTTCCTATTCTATATTGACCTCTTAACCCATTGACCGTCCATGGTAATTTCCTTCTTCACCTGATAAGGTACCTGATCCATAATAAGTCAATTCTAATTAGTTCAGAAACTAGAAATTTAAGTTTGTAAAGGGAAAGACAAATGAAACCATATATTTTAAAAATATTGTAATTAGGTAAAATATATGCTATTTATCTAAGTAGTATCGCATATATTTATAGTTTTATTTTTAATTACTTTCATATCCATAATTTCATTTGATAAATATAACTGACTACATTTGTATACCCTTATTTAGAAATCAGATTTAAAAGGTTTCAGATAGCTAATTTCCTTCAATTGGCTAGATAAATGTATCAAATTATACTATTGATAATGACTATTAAATTTGTCAAAATTATTTATGAAGTTCTGTGAAACTTGCCATTGAAATAAAATGTACAAGCATACTAAATGATATTTTTCCTCTTGATATATAATTTTTATCATCGTGGTATAGTTTTTAAAAGACATTTGAAAGCTACATAGTTGAAAAGTATGTACAGCAAATACTATTTATATGGTGTATATGTATGTATGTGTAATATAAAACGAGTGTATATATAGTACGTATAATATATAACTCATTATACAGTTTATTCTTTATAAATTCATTTTACATTACACTCAATACAGAGTATTTAAAAAGTTTTTTACCCACTCTCTCATGTATAGTAAATTAAATCATCCTTAAAATACAGCTCGATACACAATACAGTTGACTTTTAAGGCAGATATTGCTTTTATACCTAAACTAGTATCATTACCAAATACTGTCTTAAAAGGAGGGCCATGATACATATAAAAGATCCCAGTTTCATCAGCAGTCCTATCCCTATTTAACAGACCTACGATCTTAAATAATTTAACATTTTATCTGCCTCCTCTTGTATATACAGAAGACCAGTAGAAAGTCATATTTTTTCAAACTTCTGTTTTATTTTTTGCGTAATTTCATTGTCCCATATGTGGTTGTGCCTTAAATCTCTCAGCCAGTTTCTGTTGCTGGTTGAGGGAAAAAAGAGATGTGAAGAAATAAGCAGCCTGTTGATTACAAATAAAGACACTTTCTTAGAGAGAGGCCTGTCCCACTAGCCGGGGCAGTACGAAGGCTGGCCTGTCCTGGAGAGCCACTGCCGATAGTGATAATCAGTCCTGTGAAGACACTGTCCTCTGAGCCAACCCTTAGAATGGACACACATGCAATTCAGTAGCCTTTTGGAGTGTTAAAACACCATAGATAAACACACATACAGGCAACACTAGTTGGTTTTGTTTTGCTTTCCTTTGTTTTAAAGTTCATTTCTTTGTTCTTTCTCTTCTCTTTAGTAGCCATAAGATGGTTTTCGTACAAATAAACTAAAATCTTTTCAAATAAATCTGCTGCTGAAACCATTCACCAATAGCACAGAATATTATTAAGCTATAGCACACTGAAAGAAATATTAACAGCTTGGTTTGAGAGCAAAATATATATATATATATATTCAGTATATTCATTCTTCTGAGGCTCCATAATCACTTTGGCCTCTTTTTTTACCTTTTTTCCCTGAGGCCTTTTTTATAGCAGGAGTTTCACTCTACTGAGCTAAGTTATAGGATCCCTTAAGCTAACAAACATCTTTAAAATACTTTTCTTATAGTTTTTGTTGTTGTTGTTGTTGTTGTTGTTCCAGATTATTTAATGCCCCCTCAGGAAAGATAAATTCATTTCTGCACACATAGGGGTGGGCTTTTGGAAAGTGGTGTGTTCATTTTCTGCACAAGAAATGGATCTTCTCTAGGATTTTGTACATCTTGATTTATTCTTGGCTTAGAGTTTGAAGTGGGTGCTCTTCTAAAGGGATTTATGCATAGGTTCACTATTTTTGTAGTTATGGTTTATATGATAAGCTTTTTATATTTAAAATCAATATGTAATCCTGTGGAGGAGCTTATCCCCTAAAACCCTATTTGTAAATCTATTTTAGCTTTGTTACACAGCACAGCCACAGTCTTCCATAGATTGATTAGGTACAGCGGTAGAATCCTATCAAATGGCCTGCTCTGATGATGATGCAAACTCTTTCAGGATTGCTAGTTGACTGGAACTAAAGATAAGACTTGACTGCAATCCCCCAATGTGCTCTTTACAAAACTAGTGTTAATTTTCATCAAAGTGCCAAGCTTATTTATAGTGGCAAGGTAGGTTTACTACAAGAACTTTAGGTTCTTTCTATTAAAGTATTTATAGGTATTTCTTTTGCCTTTTTTCCAAGGTAATTATCAACTTCAGCAAATAAACTGAATCGGAGAATGAATAATTGGCCCTATATATAAAAAAGAGTTTTTTAAATTAACAAAACAGCTCAGTGCAGATGGACATAAACAGAATCTCTTTATTTCAACACTTTGGCTCAAATGCAGCATCAAAACTTAATCCTATTTGTTGCTAGAGGATATGGCCTTTGTAGCAAAAATACACTGGAATCTTTAAATTAATCAGAGCCCACATTGTAGTTTGTCCAAGCCAAAGTCAGTGCATCTAGCTAGCTGTGACTAGAGTTATAGGTCAGTAATCCTTTCTTAAAATGCATAACAGGTAACATAAACTTACACGCAGATTTTTAAAACACGGCATCATTATATATAGGTGAAGCTATTTAAAAGAGGATTAAAATAATTTTAAATGCAAACTTGAATATACAAATGTGAATCTTGATCAATTTTAAAGGTATTATTAAATTTTATTTAAACATTAAAATAGTACTTAATTTCCCAAATTAGCATTCAAATATGTGTGTATGTGTATAAATTTACTCCCATGAGAAAGCAAATAAAGTAAAAGTAGTTGTTAATGTAATGTGTACTCACTGCACGTTAGCTATTTCTCCTACAGTTGACTAATATTTTTGTAGATAGGTATTAATGTTGTAATAACAGATTTAATATGATAAATTCTACACATTTATGCTGGAATATTTTAAATTCTAATGTTAGTTAAATCTGACTGAAATGAAAATTATCTAAATATTAATAACTTTAAAATGTTTTTGTTACAGTTATGAGAAATTGAGCTAGGAAAAGTTATGATTTTTAAAAAATTATTCAATACTTCAGGGCTTAAAAAAATAAAAGTTTCCTCTCTTATCCATATTGTTAAAGTCTTATTTTGTAAAAATTAGAGAAGTCTTGATATTTCTAATTATTAATTGAAACCTTAAAAGTCACTGGTCAAGTGAAGAGAAGGAATAATTTAATTAAGAAAAGTGTCTGTTGTTACAATTTATTTTTTTCTTGATTTAAAAAAATTTGTAATTTTCAACTTCATTATACTATTTAACTGTATGGTGGAGAAAATTTCCCAGCTATAAAGCTCTTATCAAAATGTTTTGGAAATAAAGAATTAAAAATTACACCTAGGAAGACCAGGTACTGTAGGCGTTAAAAATAAATAAATAAATAAAGAATTATAAATTAAAGCTTATAATCAGAAGGATTTGAGGTCAGGATGGAAAAGTTAACATTCATCAAAACTAGTAATCTTAATAATTATAAAATTTAGTTACAAATCTTTTACAAATTCAGCAGGTTTTTCTTTGAGTTAATATTTCTAGAACTACAGTTACCTGAAATTAGACTAGATGACCTTTAAGATCTTTCTAAACTGGAGAGGTCTATTGATATATCTGCTGTATAGAATGAGACTGATTAAGAACAAGAACCAGATTAGAAAATTGTCCTCCAGCATTCTTGAAACTCAGCTGCATTTAAATACAAAGAATAAAATTATGATAGATAGGGCTTTTCTTCAGTTTTGCTGTTTATTATTTTTAAAATTCTTATATTTAGGAAAAAACTTTCCATAGTAATAGTTTCTTTACTCCTCTCCATGCTATAGAATTTCATTTCTTTTTTTATATGACTGCAATGTGACCATTTATTTGTGTGATGTTTTGTATCAAATGGATAATTAATATATGGTATGTTTCATATATATATATGTATTTGAGCTTATAATGAAAGGAATAGTGACAAAATTGAATAAACCATTCTAGCTTCTTGCTGCTATTCTAACCTTTATTGCATGATGATACATCTAATTTTTAATTTGTAAATACAAGACAGAATTCCCTCTAGCACCATTTGCTTTCATAAAGCTGCTGAGCAGTTTGCTGTCTTGAATAAATTTTGCTTTGGAGGGGGTCGGGGGGGATTTGAACCAGCACATTCTTGTGTGGTTTGTGAAGATTCACATGGTAACCAGCGGTGTGCATTGTTAGGTTTATCTGAATAAGCACCAGCCATGTGAGTTTTAACATGATTGCCCAGGGCAATGGAGAGAGAAGAGAGAAACCCGAAAGGATTGCAGTCCTCTCTGTTTTTTGGAAAGTGCATTTGCTGGGGGAAGGGGCTGCATGAGTCAGTGGCCATGCTTTTTTTTTTAAGCTGGTGTCCTGTTTCCCTCTAGGTCCTCATTTGTTCTGCTATCTGCCTCATCATCTACTTCTTCTTTTCATTGTTTACCTTCCTAATGAGGGAGGCGGGGTAGACTGGGGGTTGATTGACAGCTACAAGCCCTTACAGTCTGGCCAGAGAGCAGTTGGCTTTGGTTTCAAAAGTGCTTTAAATGTTCGATTAGGTCCTGTTTTTATTAAACCAAACTGCTGCTCATCTTAAGGAAATTATCAGACTAGCAAAGATTAGGAAATTTTTATTGGTATTTAAAACCGTCAAAAAACTGCTCCTACCCATGGAAAGAGCACTGCCCATCGGATTTTCCAACCTTTAACATGGGATTTCAAAAAGAAGTATGGAATTTTTCCTTTGCAAAAGTGCTTTGATTTGAAACTACCCAGCAAACCTCTCCAAAAGAAAACTGGCTGTGATGCGATCGAGAGCTGCAGTGTAATATTGCAGAGCAAATTTATTTTTTACTTCAAAGAAAAATGCTAATTAGCCGATTCACTACTTTTAAAGTTATTGTGAAGCATATGGCGCCCAGTGTGAGATACATCCAACTGCTAAAATAGAGCGAAGAGGAAATTAGCGAAGAATGGGCTGTATGGGGTGAGCATGGGGGTGGGGGGAAAGGATAGGTTCTCAGGCAGATTCTCTAGCCTTTTCAGAATGATTTTATCGCCCCTCTCTGCTTCCCGCCTCCTCATTTACCCACATCCCCCACCACCCAAGCCTCGGCCGACCTGTTCTAGGCCTCCAGCCCTCCCTCCCCCACTTTGGCTGAAATCAGGTGCGCACCTCCGGCTGGCCAATGATTCACACCTGGACTCTTTTGCAGGTTCCAGCCCAGCCGTAGCCATGTCCATCTGCAGAAAATATTTAGAAAGCAGGGTTTTAGGGGTAAAATCCTTACCGTGACAGCCAAACTCCCCACAAAACACTCTGTATAATATGGTTTACGGAGAAGTACAAGGAAACTGGTAAAGGTGGGAAGGGGGGCCAGGGTATGCCAAGGCCTTGCAGGTGGATAACAAGCCTCCCATCCTGTGCAGACTGGCAGAAGACTGAGGCCCAGAAGCGACGCGAGCAACTGCTGCTGGATGAGCTGGTGGCCCTGGTGAACAAGCGCGATGCGCTCGTCAGGGACCTGGACGCGCAGGAAAAGCAGTAAGTGGGCAGTGGGGTCGGGGTCGAGGCTCTGCTGCCTGCTGCGGGGCCGAGAAGTTTGCGGAAACTTCAGTCCAGGGGTATCGGGTGGGCAGGCGCAGCCTCCCGCTGGCCCCGAATGCCCATTCCCGCTGGGGCTTGGAATGCGGGGCGAGCGGGGAGTGCTGCTCTGCCCTCCACGAAGAAAAATTATTTTGTTTCCTGTTTGACTTACAGGGCTGAAGAAGAAGATGAGCATTTGGAACGAACTCTGGAGCAAAACAAAGGCAAGATGGCCAAGAAAGAAGAGAAATGTGTTCTTCAATAGTAGCCGGACCAGAATCTTTCCCAACATTTTAGTCTTGGGTCCCCAGACCGGAAAAAGACTCGTTGTTAATTTAAAACTTTTAACATTTTGTTTGGCTGGAGTGTACTTCTTTACCACCACTACCCTTTTCTTCCCTCCTTTCCAGATAATAGACGGAACTCCAAAATAGTTTTGCTTAAGGTTTTTTTAAATCATTTCCTTGAAACCATGTGAAATAGATTTACACAGACACCCTGTGAGTGATTGGTATTAGGAGTGTTCAAGAAACTGTTCAAAGGAGAAAGAAAAGAAAACCCTTCCGTCATTATTTCCCCTCATTTTTTGATGGGAAGAAATTTGAAAACATTTTTTTTGTTGTTAATAGCATAATGATGGTGGGAGGGGGGTAAGAGGGAGATAAGGAAAATGTCATGAATGCTTTTTTTTCTCAGTCCTGCCATATGTAACACTGACTCTGTTACCTAAATTTTATAGTTAGATCATATTCAATCTACTTATTAAACTATGTTCTATTTACTAGTGGGATTTTCTGCAGTTGTTTTGCATTTCACTGTAAAGATAATAGAGTTCCTCTCCTCTGCTTTCCTCAGAGGATGGCCCTTTAACATAGCCGGAGAGACAAGTCCTGTGATTTGAAGGTGAGCTATGAGGATGAGACTAATTGACATGCATCAGTTTACAAAGACAGTCTTATCTTCTGAGAATGCGCCATCTTTTTCTCTGGATAATTATTTATTACATCTAGCTTGGTTCCTACATTTTGTTGGGTCTCAACATTGGCTCAAGAATGCTGTTAATATTTATTCTGTATTGATAAAACTTTGTCTCGCCACTATGAGTAAATCCCTCAATTAATATTTTCTTCTCTAGCATAGCACTGTCATTTTTGTGTGTGTGAAAATGGTTATCTGTTTATTTATTACAATACTGAGGTCATATATAAATTTTCAATAAAAGCAGAAACTTTCTTACCTTAAATACTCTATTTCCTTGCAGTGAAAACTTGACACTGATTTGAGAAGTTTGTGTATCCATAAGGCTTTTCATGTGAAAAAAATGGTCCTCTTGAATACTGGGCAGGATACTGGGCTGTATTAGGAGCTAAGTTCACACCATCCCAGAGGGGCCCTGCTGACACACGAATAAGAATTGAAAAGCAATTAGTCATATTTTCTTAAGCAGTGTAAACTATCATCTTTTATAAAGGGTCATCTCTGTGAAAGACTTGAGGAAATTTGTGATTCCACAGCACTGAAAAAATGCTATTATCTTGATGAATTTTCGACGTTATTTTCAGTTGTTATAATTTAGTACTCATGGGGAACTATGACTTGATAGCTGGCTGAAGTGAGAGAAAGGGTCGTTGGGATGGGGGAAGAGGGTAAGTGCGTGCAGGTGTGTATGAGAAGAGGGAAAGGGAACTTTTAACAAGTTCTAGGCAACAGAAAGAAACGCGATTTTGACAGTTTCCATACTCTACAGAGGTGTCGGAAACAAAGAAATCTCGTTCAACAAGTCTGGGGAGAGAAAACAGTCCACTAGCATTTATACTTTTGCCTAGATCACACATATATACACACATTCATATATGTACATATACACAAAATATTTATACATACACAAATTCCTTTCGAAAGTATGCAGCCGCCTACAATTGCCAGTCTTTCAAAATGATAATAAAAACTTGCTAAGATAGAATTTCTTCACCTTAAAGATTTTAAGAAGTTACTGAAAAGTTATCGGAACTCAATGAAATAGGGAATCTGCCCTCTTTATTTGAGCAGGAGAGCAGAGCGAGCGGCCGCTCTCTGGGGGAAGCTCTCAGAAGCCCGCCCTAAGCCCGGGGAAGCCGGCAGACGGAAACCGCCAGCCCGGAGCAGCCTGGGGTTTGGGCGGCCAGCATAACCCACCCCACTGACGCTGGATTTGGGGAACCTTCCCTCCCAAGGAGTCTCACAGAGAGGCGGCTCCCCTAAGCCGCTCCCGACCTGCCCAGCCCCAGATTTGCGGCCCCTCCGGCCCCAGGCCAGAGCCTCGCGTGATTTCCATTTGGGCTGCTCTGTGGCGCCCGGACGCCCCGCAGCGGCCGCGGAGCGCGGACCCCGGGACTCGCTGGGTCAGGCCCGCGGCGGGGGCGCCGCGTCCGGATTTCGTCGCGTTTCGCCTAGGGGCTGCCTCTCGAGCGCAGGCGCGAGCCCAGCGTGCGGAAAGGCCGGGAATCCGAAAGCCCGCGCTGCGGAAAAAAAAGCTGTGGGCGCGGGGGTCGCCGAGGAGGAGGAGGAGCGTTGGCAGCGGACTGGTTTGGGCACTGCCCACGGGCCGGTGCAGAATTTCCGCCCCTGGCCAGCATCCCACGGCCTTGGAGCCAAACCCCTCCCCTTGTCCCAAGTGTCCTACAGAGTGGCCTGGCCTCGAGGTCACCTGGATGCTACGTTCGGGTCCCGGGTCCCAGCTCCCACGGTCTCTCCCCAGCCCGACGGGCCACGGGCTGGGTCGACTTGCCCTCCCCCGGCGATGCCCCCTCTTCCCCATTGCTGGAATGGTCGCAGCTTCTGGCCCAGCGTCTCCCACCTGGACATTTGCCTAGCGGCGGCCTCTTCAATCCTCTAAGCTGCGTACAAGAAACTTTCATCTCAGTCTCTCTTTCTCTCTCCACTCCCCTCCCTCTCCCCTCTCCTCTCTTTTTCTTCTCTTAATCCCGGGGTTTTATGGGTTGAGCATTAAGAAAATTCGCTTGCATTTTGGGATTAGATAAATATTCTCATGGGGGGTCGTGTTACTTGATACCTCCCAACTTCCCTGAGACCGTGACAGCATCTGGAACCGAGAGAAGGGCTCCCGCGTGGCGGGCCCTGGGGACCGCCTGAACACATTCCAGCGCTCAGCCGCCCCACCTCGCTACGCCGGACCTCGGCCCCGCGCTGCAGCTGCAGGCGTAACAGTGCGCTGAAGAAGCAAAAGAGCGAGAGTCGGCGGGCCTGGGACAGGTTACGAACCTCGAACCCGGAGGGCTAACCCAGGACAACAGCCCGCAGGCCCGCGCTGAGGCAGCGCTGGGCTAGGGACGCAGGCGCTGCCAAAGCGCACCCCAGGAAGCCCGCATTCACTTCTCCCCCCAAAACTAGTGTGCTCCAGTCCGCGCCTTTCCCCAAAAGTGAACAAGGGGGTGTATTTCGTTTGTTTTTGTTTTTGTTTTTTTTTCTTTAAATCTCTACACCATCTCCGGGGGCTCCGAGCCGAGGGCCTCGCAAGCTACTCCCTGCCGGGGCCTGCGCGAGCCTAAGGTGTGTCTCCGCCCGGGTCAGCGCTGTGCTCTGCGCAGTTTCTTTTCTTATTAAAGCTTCCCCATCACCACCCATGTTTTTCCTTTTCTCTCGTTTTTTTAAATTGTTTTTTTTTTTTGCTCTGTGTCTTTCTCTCCCTTTTATGAATGGGTCGCGGTGTCTTTGTTCTGGAGAGAAGCGTCCGTGTCGCTGACTTTTGTGAACCAGAGAAGGATCTTGTAAAACCTCCTTTTCTCCTTCATACTCCCCCACTCTCACCCCTCCTCCATAGCCCCTTTGATTAGATGTTCCCTCATTGTCCCCCCACCCCCCAAAAAATGTAATTTCGTTGGTCCGGCGGCCACTTTCTTTGAACATTAGCTCGCTTTCAGCTCCAACTTCAATTAGAAGGAGTTGATTTTGAGAGATCAACAAAAGAACCGACCAAAGCCTTATTAAAGGTCCTAAGAAGATCTCCCGGGTCCTTTGAGAAGCAGTTAAGGAAACAGTGTGCCCTCCATCATATTCTGTTACCGTATTTTATTCGGACTCCAAAGGAAAGTGTCGCTTGGAGGAGGGGGAAGCACTTTGAAGAGCGGCGGCCGCGGCCCCTTTTCACTCAGCGGGCTCCCCTTTCCTTCTCCTCCTCTTCGCCCAGCGCCCTGTCTGCTCTCGGTGCCCGACCCTGCGGCCGAGGCAGCGCCGGCGCTCCACGCCACGATACGCTCAGCGGCTGCCTAACTCGCCCTCACACCTTACTCCATCCAGTCCAAACTTTTCACTCCGCCCGTAAGGGTGAAAGGGAGGGGGGATTAAGAAAAAAGCGGTAGGAATTCCTCGAAAGGCAGTAAAGTCGTTCCTAATATTCAGGAGGAGGTACCATTTAAAAGAATTGCTTTGCTCAGGGTTTGGGTGAAAACATGTTTTTTGCGCTTCGGAAGGTCCCCCCAGGTAGACGTGTTTGAGAAGTTTTTCGGCTGGGTAATGGGCTTCACCAGTACGAACGATCCGGGGAAGTCGCCTCTGGGAGGCTCCCGCGGCATGTGGGAAGGAAAATGAAGGCAACGGTCTGTGGCAACATTTTCCACTGGACTGCCCCTGGTAGAAGGAGACCGGAAAGGAGACAGAGACGGTGTGAAAGAGAAAGTTTTCTATCAAAAATCTTCCGATTCAGAAGTAGAGTGTGTGGAAGGGGGAGGGGACCCTGAGCACCGACATTTCAGAAGAAGGGTTTATGATTTGCGAACACCCTTCGTGGGGACTAGGAACCCTCGGAGACGCCGAGGAGCAGGTAAGTGGCGGGCCTCCCCTGCGGGTGCTATTCCCGGCCCGCGGGACTTTTGAGGCGCCGAGGAGGGGTCTGCACACCCAGAGCTGCCTCCGCGCTTGGCAGAATAGCCTGTGCGGGCACGAGCCGCCTGCGGCGTCCGTCTGCAGGTAACGGCGCGGTGGAAGACGCTGGGGCCCGCGGCGCCGCGCGAGGGGCCGGGGGCCAGCTCTCCTCTAGCCCGTGGCATCGGAGTCCTCGCGCCCACAACCCGGCTGCCGAGCCGGGTGACGCGCGAGAGAGCGAAGGAACCGGTTCTCCAGCACCTCGCCTCCTTTCTACCACTCCCTCTGGGGCGCTGAAAGGGCGAGAGAAGGGCGGGGGCCTCAGGGCGGCCTGGGGACCGGCGTCGTCCTCCGCCGCTGGTGCTCGGGCTCTGTGCACGCCTTCTTAGCCTGGCTCTGCATCGCGTTTGCTAGCTAAGCCCCAGAGTTAGCGCGCAACCGGGGCGGGGCGGGCGGAGAGGGAGGGGTGCAGGGGGCGGGGGCGCGCGGAGGTAACCCCCGGCTCGGGCTGCCATTGCCCGGCTCCCTGTCACTCAGCCCGCGCGGGGCCCAGGATTGGCAGCCCAGCCCCGTTACGCACTCACCTCGCGTTCACATACCCGGGGAGGGCAGTAGAAAGGTGATCAATCTTCATCAGGCTACATTTCCAATCACCTAAACAACCGGGCAAGACAAGCCACTCCGACAAGGTAAATCGCTTGATTTATTTAGTTTGCAAAGTGCCTCTGCAGGACTTCCCCAGCCCCCCACCGCCTCCCCGTTGTACCAGGAGTGCAGCGACAACCGCGAGCGGCCTCCCAACTCTGCCCCTCTCTCCCCCACGCTCCCCCCCTGCGGCCCCTCGGTTTGGTCCTGGGCGAGGTAGTGACTCGGGAGCTTGTAGGGTTTTGCAAACAAAGTGTCTGCAATAAAGTGAAACCTGGAGGGACACGCACAAAGCCAGTGGAAAGAAAGACGGGAGGGGGGAAGTTGGGGAAAGAAAGAAATCCAGGGGTCCTAGACAACCGCCAGCCCGGCGGGTAATTCCTGTGCGGCTCTGTTTTGCAGGTTGGCTGCCCCGCGGGTTGGTGAGGGCGCGAGGTAGATGGTGACCGGCCCTGGCAGCTGAGGGCAGGTAAGGAGAAAGCCGCGGGCCGCCCGGGACTCTGGGAACGCGCCGGTGCTCTTGTCTCCCCCTCCTCAGACCGGTCCCCACTTCCCGGGTCCTGGCACGTGGGCGGGGCTAGGGAGCGACCTGGCTCCCCTCCGGGTGCGCGGAGGACCCCAGGGCTCCGCTCTACGGCCCCGCGCCCCGCCTCCTCCGAAGTAACCGAGCTGAAGTTCTAAGTTTGAAGAAACTCTTTGAAACTCACGCTGCAGCCTAGCAGAGTCGCCGCGGCCCAAGAGCCCCGGCTGTTTCCCTTTCGTCCCCTTCCCTGCACGCTGGGTTCTCCCAGTCAAGGCCATGGGTCCTGAAGGATAGGAGCGGAAGGCGTCTTGAGCTCTAACTTCTCTCCCTGAAATCTCTAACCCGGGTCCCAGGCCTGCGTTTAGTTCCCGCGAAGCGGGGTGAAGCGACAGGTACTCTGGAGCCCCAGTCCCACTCCCCTAGCACCACTTCCTAACCCTTGAGAGTAGCGACTCAGGTTCGGGGCAACTGGGGAAGGGAGGTTTCTACCTTCCAGCCCAAGTCAGCGCGAGAGACGCCGCCGAGGCCTAGTTCTGTCCTGGGGTCACGAGTTCAGCTAGTAGGATACGCAGGGAGCGCATGGGACCTGCTGGACTCAGGCCTTCCAAATCCGCGAGACCCTTTTGGGAGCTGGTCGAGTCACCTTTCAGCCCCCGCTGGGACCCCATTGCCCGCAACCAGGACCTGGCATAAAAAAGGATCTGCTTTTGCGTTGGCGGAGAAGGGCCTGCGGCCCTGTCGAGGTGCGGATAACCTGGGGCCGCGACTTAAAACCGACACCGCCACCGTGGCCCCTTCTGCGTCTTCTGCCCGCCTCTGGGGCACCTGGGCCTGTAACTTCGGTTGATGTGTGGTGGGATTCCGGGTGAACAATCTTTCAGCGGCGGGGCACAAAGAAGTCAACTGGAGGGGTGGCTGTGGGCTATGTGGGTCTGGGACCCAGCTCTGGAGACCTTTGAAGAAACGTGCTCTCCTAAGTGGGCAATGCATCCTGGAGAGGCCCAGGTGCTGCTACCTCACCTTGGCTCTCAGGAATCTCTACCTTTCTTCCTGCTTTCAAAAACATTTGAAACAAAACGGAACAACACCTCATGCTCTGGACAGCCTGCCTGGGCACCGAGTTGGACGTTTGCTGGTGCAATATGCGGCCGGGTCCCACCGGACCAGAATCTTGCCTGCACTTGGGACCTTGCATACTCCGCGGTTCAGGCTCTGACCTTCCCAGTGTGTCCCTGATTTTAACCTCTCACTCCTAGCGATGCCCTACGAGTGTCTTTGACCCCTTGCAAGCCCGAAAAGAGGCGATGACAATCCAGAAAAGCTTTCTTTTTGAGGAAGCCTTGGTCTTTGGACCAAGGCCTTGTAGAGCCTAGTTGGCCTCCTGCGCAGTACATAGCCTGTGTTCTCTCCACATCCTGTGGCTCCTTGCCTCCGGCCAGACCTGGAAGCCGAGATGGCTCCGAATGACTGTTTCCTTGTGTCTCTTGTCTTCCTAGGCTGGGCCCCCAGACTCAACCGAGCTTGAAGAACTGTGCGGTGGGAGCCCCGCACTGAGCCCGGCCCCCTGGATCCGTCGGGGCGCCTCCACCCGGCTGTTAGCATGATGTCTTACCTCAAACAACCCCCCTATGGCATGAACGGGCTGGGCCTGGCCGGGCCCGCCATGGATCTACTGCACCCCTCCGTGGGCTATCCAGGTGAGCACCAGCCTCTACAAGTCTTGGGCACCTCAGCCTCAGGTTTGAGCACATGCTTTGTCAGAGAGCAGGCCCAGGGAGCTGGCTGAGGGAGCCGGTTGCCAAGTCTCCTTACAACACCAGGCACACTGCAAGCTCACAAGGCAGAGTTGTAGGTGGGTGAGGTGGGCCAGAGAGGCAAAAACAAGCAACTGTGCACCCTTGGGCCCAGATACACCAGCCACTGTCTGCTGGTGGCCACACCGCCAGCATAGGGATTCGTTTCCCATAGGTGGCTTTTTTGGTATGTGCATGTGTGAATCTCTTCCTTTTCCCCCAACATTGATGAGGAACCTAGACACTCACCATGCCCTGACAGGAAATGCCTAGCTTACCCTATTTGAAGAGAGTGGTTGAGCTAAGGAGGGGAATTCTACCTCTCTAATTAAATTGTCCTCAGGACCAGTGTCTGCACTGACTTTTGCATTGCTGATGTGAAGGGCTTGAGCTGAATCCTGGCTTTCTTTTCTATTTCCCACTCCTTCACTCCCATTTATTCCGTGGGAAAGTGTTTAGCAGGTGGCCGTTTATGCTCACCCCTGCCCCACCCTCCAGCCAAGGGTGTGTGTGTGTGTGTGTGTGTGTGTGAAAGGAGTATGATTTCTCTTCCTTTCTTAACTTCCGAGACTCAGGGAAGGAGGCAGCCCTGCGGTCTTGGAGATTCTGGTTCCCAGTCGCACACATGCACTTTCTCCCACCTGTGGCCTCTCTAGTTCGGCCTCCCCGGGGAGTTTCTTTTGATCCGAGCTCGGCTTTCTTTTGCGACGGTTTGGCTCAGGGCCTGCCAGGGGCCTATCCGCGTTCTCTAGCGCAGATCCTCATGGCCACCGGTGACCCAAAGTGCCCCCGTATGTCTCCTCAGCCACCCCGCGGAAGCAGCGGCGGGAGCGCACCACCTTTACGCGCTCCCAGCTGGACGTACTCGAGGCACTCTTCGCTAAGACTCGCTACCCTGACATCTTCATGCGCGAGGAGGTGGCGCTCAAGATCAACCTGCCAGAGTCCAGAGTCCAGGTGCGCGCGCCTGGAGCTCCAGGGTCAGGATAAGGGCGCTCGGGCTGGTGGGAGAAATTCTGGGAAGGGTGGTCTGTGTGAGGGCGGGCTTACAGACTGGGCAGCCCCTCCCAGACTCCTTTAGCTCTGGGCCCGGGCCTAGAAGAGGAGACAGAATTAAAGGAACTAGCTTAGAGCCCTGGATTTGGCCCTTGCTCGTGGGGCACCTTCAGTATCGCAGGCCCTTTTTAGGATTGAGGGGGGACAAGCGAGGCTCCCGAATGTAAAGTGCCTTAAAGGCCCGGCACTTGCCCATGCTCCTTCGGCCGTCCCAGAACTTGGCAATTTCCTTCGGAGTCCTGAATTCTGCCTCCACTCTTGCCTTGTATCCCGGGGAATCCTGGAAATGGAGGAGTGGAGCTTGGCCGAAGCGTGGTACCCTGTCTGGGAGTGCGTTCCACGCGTGGCGCCAGTTTAATTAGTCGCTTCCTGTACCCGGAGAGGATGCCGATTGCAAAACCGGGCTACCGGCTTTGCCGTTTCTGTTTTTACCATGAAAGAGCCCCGAAAGTACTGTTTGGATTATAACTCAGAACTCTCCTCAAGGGTCTTTTATCTCTCCTTCTTTTCTCGGAGGCTCGAGAAAGAACCAGGAATGCAAAGCCAAGTATGGAGCCTTCCAAGAGGAGTGAGACCTTTATGATTGTCCTGTTTGGTTCCCACGTGGAGCCAAGAAGCCTAGAGAAATTCTGCCCAGGCTTCCTTCCCTAGGCCTCCAAATACTGCCTCTGTTCAGCCTGCCGGCCTTGCTTCTGCTCCCACCCAAATTTTTGTTCTGCCCAGGACCGGGCCTCCAGGGGCCGACTGGCTCTGGCCTCAGACTTAGTGACTGTACAGCACTCCACAGCCTGCTGTGTCTCCGCTGTTTGTTGAGCCCAGCCGTAGAAAATAGGGCCTCTAAACACACACGGGACCGCTGGGGAGCAGTCACCAGCAGCAGTTTAGTGATGGCTGAACTTCTGGCTGGACAGATGCAAATGTTCCTCCCTAGAGCAGGGTTGCGCTGGGAGTGGGAAGGTGCACATCCATATTTGATAAAGGAGGGTCTTTGAGAAGAAGGATGAGGAGGGCGGAGGATCTGGGAATGCTAGGGCAGGGTCTAGCCGGACGGAGACGAGGAGGGGCAGAGGCCTCGGCAGGAGTTGGGATGCGAGATCTTAGGAGGGGTGGTGGGTCCAAGGGCCGGGGGAGTAGCAAACTCTACTCGCCTCTTGACACGGTCTCCCCTATGCGATTCGCTGCAGGTCTGGTTCAAGAACCGCCGCGCCAAATGCCGCCAGCAGCAGCAGAGCGGGAGCGGAACCAAGAGCCGCCCAGCCAAGAAGAAGTCGTCCCCGGTGCGGGAGAGCTCTGGCTCGGAAAGCAGCGGTCAGTTCACACCGCCCGCTGTGTCCAGCTCCGCCTCGTCCTCTAGTTCGGCTTCCAGCGCTTCTGCTAATCCAGCGGCTGCAAGTGCTGCAGGCCTGGGTGGGAACCCGGCGGTGGCAGTGCCGTCGTCGTTGAGTACACCCGCTGCCTCATCGATCTGGAGTCCAGCCTCCATCTCTCCCGGCTCAGCGCCGGCGTCAGTGTCGGTGCCCGAGCCATTGGCCGCGCCTAGCAACGCATCATGTATGCAGCGCTCTGTAGCCGCAGGCGCGGCCTCGGCTGCAGCCTCTTACCCCATGTCCTACGGCCAGGGTAGCAGCTACGGCCAGGGCTACCCCACGCCCTCTTCTTCCTACTTTGGCGGCGTGGACTGCAGCTCATACCTAGCGCCCATGCACTCGCACCACCACCCGCACCAGCTGAGCCCTATGGCACCCTCCTCCATGGCGGGCCACCATCACCACCACCCGCACGCGCACCACCCGTTGACCCAGTCCTCAGGCCACCACCACCACCACCATCACCACCACCATCAGGGCTATGGCAGCTCCGGGCTTGCTTTCAACTCTGCCGACTGCTTGGATTACAAAGAACCTGGCGCCGCTGCGGCTTCCTCTGCTTGGAAGCTCAACTTCAACTCGCCCGACTGTCTGGACTATAAGGACCAAGCCTCATGGAGGTTCCAGGTATTGTGAACCCAAGCGTGTGAGAGGAAGAGAAACGCAACTACCTGCGCCCTCCGTGGTCCCCGTCCTGTTGCTGCTGCTGATGCACCGCCCGCCTTTGCCTCGGCTTCTCTGGACCTATTTTCATGCCCCTTAAAGATGCCCATTGTCTGCACTGCCGCCCTTATCTTTGTGCCACTTGCTTGGGGGCGGGGGGTGCGTGTGCAAACCTGCCCACCCCCTGGATGAGGGAACTGGTGCTTCGGCTTGGCCCACAAGTTCTATTACGGGAGAGTTGTGTGCTCTCCTCCTCAACCCCTCACGAATTCCTAAGTAATCCTCTTCCAGTCTTCCTGGACAGTTACGCACTTGCAGCCTTCGGAGGCTCTTCGCTCTGACTCGCCGTTTGAGCCCTACACTTTTATTTATTCTTTCTGGACACTGGAGTCACTAACTGGCATGTGTCTGCCCACTGGAGTGCACCCACACTCTACTTCCAAGCAACCACTAAGTGTTTCTTGCGTGCAGACTGCCGCCCCTTCATCTGCCCCCGGCCCCACTCCCCGCCTGCAGACCAGAGCTTCCCCGAGTCTCCTCCTCCCCAGCCGGATGCGCTGGGGCAGGGCCGGAGAGGGAGGAGCGCTTCTCTAGCCTCTCACGCTCAGCCCCGCCCTGCGTAGAACTGGCTCAAGCTTCCGCCTCGGCGGGAATGCTGTACATAGTCGGGTCCGTTCCAGGGACCTCTTACACTTTATAGTTGCTGTTGGTTGAACTGAGCATATCTCGTCTTAGCGCCCAGGAAATAGAACCTAAGATATATACAGCATATATATATATACACACACATATATATAAAAAAAGCAAAAATATTTTCCCTCGGTCCCCCGGCCTTTCTTCCTCAAACGATGGCTCTTTTTCAGTTGTTGCAAAGCTCTCCTGCCCCCTCATACCCTTTTCCTCTGTGTATTTATTAAAAGAGAACCGTTTGGTTCCAGGAAGCTGGGCGCAGAGGATTGGAGGGTCCGGGAGGGCCGAGGAAACAGCCAAGCCAGGGTACAGGGAAGGGAGCTAGGCTGGGCTGGGGCGCAGGACTGAGTCCTTCACTAGGTCTAAGCACAGGGTCGCAGTTCCGTTTTAGAGACCAAAAACAAAAAGAAAGAAAAATAAAAATACAGTATTATAGAAAAACAAACCCAAGCCCCAAACCTCAGTTCCCACTCCTCTGTCAGCTTCTCTCTTTAAGCAGCAACCCTGTTTTGTCTAGTGAATTCTTAGTGCACCTTCATTCTAAATCTGCGGAGAGCCCGCGCCTGTGTATCAATTTTGGCTTTGGCCGTTTCGTCCAGTAGGTGGGAAGGTAATTTGTAAATTTGATTTGTCCGATGTGAAGATCACAAATTACTTGTTGAAATGTAAGGCAGCCCCCCTCCTACCCCTTTATCCACATTATTTCCCGAAAATAAATGCAAATTAATGAACGGCTTGTCAGTGTGGCTCTTATGATTACAGCCCCAGGTCCCAGTCTGGAGTGGGGTGGCGGTGGGGGGCTAAAAGGAGGGAAACTCCTGTGCTAATAACTCACTTGTTAATAATGACCTGTGTGAACCTGGAGGCCAAAGGATAGGATGGGAGGACGTGGCACGAAAAGTCCCCAGAAACGCTCTTTTAGGGAGTGTCCTCTCCACCGGGTCAGCCTGGCCTCTTCCCCCAGGCGTTTTGACCTCGCATCTCCTCTCGCCATCCTGGACAGAGACAGGTGTCAGTACTCAATTCCCGGAGCAATTCCTTTCTATTCAGAGAAAGGAGGCTGGCACTGATTTCTTCACCCTAATTACTTGCACCAGAAAGAAGAGGGGGAGGGGAAGAGGGTCGGGAGGCGGGAAAGGATAGCTCTATAATGCTCTCAGAGCTGAGCCAAAAAGGAAACAAAACGACAAAAAACCGATCCGTGTCCTGCATGTTGGCAGCAGACAACCTTCCTTTCTGCTGGGCTGTCCCGGGTGGCTTCACGGCGGCTGGGGGATCCGAGTCATTCCTTCCATGTGCTCAGATGTCCCTCTAAAGCCTCATCCCCCTGCCAGAAGTAGCCAAAGTATCTTTGTTGGTATTGTGAAATTTCTTTAAAACGCAAACAAAATCTAGAAAAGTCGACAAGGACTTTTCACTTTGGCAGAAGAGGAAGACTCCTGGCTTGCATCAGCGAGTCGTAAAGGAAGGTCCCACCTTCCCCTGAGGGAAGACAGAGATGGGATGGGATGATCCCCCAGAAAACCCAGAGCCTGTAGCTGTCCAGACTCTGGCCTGAAACCTCCGGGGTGTGAGGCCGAGAAACTACTTAACTTGTCCACGGGCGGGAAAGAATTAAGGAAACAACGAAAAGTTTCCTGCAAAGTGACCAATTCACCCTATTCTTTTTATTCCGTGTGAGACCTGAGAACACAACGTGAGGCCGGGTTTGGAGAACGACCCCCTACCCCAGGGTCCCACACCGAGTGGGGACTCGGGGCTGCGAGCCCCGGCTGTAGAAAAGCCGCCTCGGTCGCGTCCTCTCTCCGGACTCCGTAGGAATGGCCCGGGAGCCGCGTGCCTTCCCGCTCCGACAAATCCATCACCCCGACTCCGCTAAGGCCCGCTGGAGGGCGCAGGCACCGCCCCCAGAGTGAGACCCCGAGCACGGGGCCCGGCCGCGCCCGCGCGGGCTCCCACTTCAGTGCGGGGGCAGGCCGAGCTGCGCGTGGCGCGTGGCCCTCGGGTCCGCGGCCAGCACGTGCCGCGGAGGACGGGCCTGCGGCCGGAGCAACGAGGCCTCCAGCTCGCGCCGCACACGCCTGGGCACCCTGGCTCTCCCGCCCCGGGCTCCGCGGCTCACGCAGCGGCCGCCGGCGCTGCTCGAGGCCCAGGTGCTAGGCTGCCCCCACCCGAGGCTCCGTGCGGCGGGTTCGGTGGGGCCCAGCGGTACTGCCGGCTGCTCGGTGGAATGAAACCAGAAGACCCGGCTTTGCAACAGCTTGGACAACTGAGTGGTCTCCGAACTAAGGTACCCAAACCATGGGCCTCAGTTTTGTCGCATTTGTTATTTGGACCCACAGGGCCTGGGGCTGTCTAGAACTTGCCCAGAACTTCACACTTGGGGCCTAGGCCACGGGCGGGTCGGTCAGACGCGTCCCCGTGGCCCGACCCCTCGGCGGCGTCTAGAAGCTTCCGCGCCTGCGTACTTAGGCAGACGGGGACCCGCGGCCCGGCGCACTGAGGCCTGGCGGTAGTTCCCGCCCGGGGGACTGAGCTTCGAGGAGAGGCACGTGCTTCTCCAGGGGCCTCCTAGCCTGTTCTGAGGCCGCGCAGCGCTGGGGCACCTCGGGCCGCCAGGACGCGGGGCCTGGGGGGAGAGGGGTAGGTGCGTGGCTGCGGCAGGGGCGGCCGGAGGTCGCTAGGCCCCGCAAGGTGAGAGCGGCCACGCTGGCCGAGAGTCCCCGGGCGGCGGCGGTGGCGGTGGCGGTGGCAGTGGCGGCGGCGGCAGCGCGTTAGGTCCCTCTCAGTCCTATTAACCAGTAGGTTTTGTGAGAACCGTCCTCAGCTCCCCCTTCTCCCAGTTGTGTTTTGGTGTTCGTGACACAATTGAAGCAATTAGAATTGAAGCAATTCAAGCAGATTTAGCAACTTTAGAACATTTAGCAGCATTAAGGCGTCAACAGTTTTTTCTTTGAGTGCTCAACGAAATCTTCGTGTTTTCTACTCATGGCTTGTATTCTCTGCTCATACTCTAGGAGCAGAAAAGTCTACCTATAGGTGAACATGTGTGAAGTGCCATTGGGGTAAAGGATAGGTCACATTTGTGATTTTTATAAAGAATTTTAAAGAGTATCTGGAGAGCACTGCATTAATTTGCCGAAGCTCTGAAAAGAGTCAGTGAAGTAACTTCATTTGTTGTAGAACTTTTCAGTACTCTTTTTAGTAGCTACTGAGGGTATATGGAGACGTTTCTCTAAATTGTGAACGAAAGGGATTTTTTTTTTATTTTGAAAAAAAAAAAAAAATCCTTACACCTGAGAGGAAAAACAGGTTAAAAGACTGAATGTCAGCAAATTTATGTCTGTTACATTACAAAGACCGAAAAACTGAGCAGTTTCATTTCTGCTGTCAACAGAAAATAGAAGTTTTTCATGTATTTTGTTCAAAATAGCAACTTCACAGAAAAAAAATGTAAATTTTTTTTTATTCTATCGTGAAAATAGATGATAAATTCACTACTCTGGCATTACTAATTAATGTTATTTATGTCATTAAATACTGACAGGCACTAAAGATTTCTTTAGAGATACAAACATAAAATATATCTGATATATTAAATGTAGTTAATATATACATAATTGGTAAAGAAAATCTGTATCATTACTATTTAAAACCAAAAAAATCACTTGGCTTCTGTTGCAGAATTAATTTAAGAACAGCAACAAGATATCTTTCTAAAATTTTTTAATTGAAACCAAACAAGTTCTTAATAAGTGATTCTATATTTTCCACATATTTTAATATCTGAAATGAGAATGAAAAAAGCTTTAAGTTTAACCAAGGAATATTTATATTCAACAATACCATACTTAAAAACCACCAACTAGAAAATGAATACTAAATAATAACAATGTATTGCTTATTTGACAAGAAAACTCCATTATCTTTAAGAAAGAATCTGTATAATTACATGTGTGGATGTCTGGAATATCCTTTTTTGAAAAGCTTTTTTGGGGCTCTGTTTAGTAGATGGTTCCTGAAAAAGCAATTATTCCTCTTAATCATCCTATTGATATTTACTGATATCAGAAAAAAAGAATTTAATTTTTTTGTGAGGCAAGAACATTTCTTTTGGCCTAATGATTTTTTAACTATGCTTTTAAAATGAGTTGGATTTTAAAACACATTAAGTGCAATCTTTCAAAAGTTTTTAAAAATTAAATGTTTCCCAGAAAGCTTTCACTGATTTAGGTGAAATGACAGTTACATAATATAGCCAAAGTTGAAACTGCTTTTAAATATATCCAGTTTATTCTTAAGAAAAAATAAATCAAGGAAGTACATTGCATGCTCACAACTAAAATGCATATCCCTCCAATTATGAAATTATACATTGATGTTTCTAGGACTATTATTTCAAAGGTAAGGGTATGATTAAACATATTTTGGAGTTCTTTCTAATCAAACAGGACTTAGGCTTGATTTAATCAATGACGGTTTGTAAAAATGTAAAAATTTAAAATTTATTGTTTCTAAAAATTTTACCCCTTTTGTTCCCTTTGGATAATTTACCTGATGACTAATATAATCAAAGACACAAAGTTCCATTCCATTCCAAAGGTCATAAATATTTTGTTTTTCAAAGGTTATTCTTTATCAAACAGCTTATGAAAACTATTTTAGAAAATTTTAGAAATTCTTTGAAAGTGGATTATAAGATTAGGATTTCAGGAACTGGAGTCACATATTTTTAAGAGTTGGAGTATAAATAAATCATAACTTTTTGATATTTGGGGTAAAAATAATTAAAATGTTGGAATAAATGGTCTCTGATTTAACAACTTGGTGTCTAAAGAGCTCATGAAATATTTTTAGGACACAAATTTTCTCATGTATGTTTAAAGCTCTAAATACTTATACCATCATCTGTCATAGATAATTAAATTCAGGAATCATTTTCTTTTTAAAGTTTATTTAAAATATTGTGAAATAATGCATACAGAAGAAAGTATAAAACAGATATGTACACTTTAAAGAGAAATGAAAGTAAGAACAACAAGTTCTTAAATACCTGGAAAAGTAGATTGGGAGTTGGTTACAATTTCAATGTTTAAATTTGATTTTGCATACATTATGTCTATTTATTTTTTAGAGATTTTGTTAAATCCTATATAGTAGTGACTGTTAATGTAGGGACACCTTTTTAAGGCATAAAAATAATTAAAATCATAGGATATAAAAGTTCCATAGGCCTCTGAAAATCATAGAGTTTCTTTTTTGATGGAAGGATTGTGCTTTACATTTATATTTTTAATGAAGGAGCGCCAAAATAATTTTTCTTCTTGTTTCCCAGGCATGGATATTTGACCTCATCCAAAGATATAGGTTCAACTCTTGATTTTATTACTGGTGACTCTCAAATTCATATTTCTAGCTCAGACCTCTCTGTTGGACTTCCTACGCTTGTACATCCACTGAAAAGAGACCATTGGATTTGATTTCTTAGGAAGGTAATGAAAGATGTCTAGGATTTGCTTCAGAATAATAGAGGAAGAGAGAGAATGCGTGATGAAACAGGATTAGCCATGAGTTGATAATTGTAGAAGCAGAGTGAGAATACATATAATTTCATTATACTATACTTTTGTATATTTAATTTTTTGCAATGAGTGAATTAAAATTTTAGTTTGTAGAAAGTTTTTGCACTGTGTTGAAGAAATTGAGCTTTCCATGCTTTGGAGCTCATACT